TTTTTTTTTTTTTTGACTTTTGTACTATTGATTTAGGAGATTTATTGATCCGTACTTAGGAAGTTGATGAGATTTTATCTGAATTTATCAATCAAGAATCTTGGAACTTTAGTCTTGGAGTTTAATTGCAGGTCATAATTTCTGGGAGTTTTGTTTAATTTAAGTTAGTTTTTTTGCAGTTGAAGCTTTAATCTCTTTCAAAAGGGCTGTTTTTGAGGACCCATTACTGGCATTGTCCAATTGGAACCCTCTTGATTACAACCCTTGTGGTTGGTCTGGTGTTTATTGTTCTATAGCTGGAGAATATGTCCTAAAGATGTAAGATTTTCGGTTTGGCGATGTTTAGTTAACTACGTATTTTTCGATATGTGGCATTTTTTTTTCCCCTTCTAAGTTAAGAACTAAAGAATGGCTTCTGTTCCTGGTTCCATTTGAATTTCAGTAACATATCGAGGGCATCTTTAAAGGGTTTCATTGCACCAGAGTTTTATCAACTCACCTATCTGCAAGAACTGTAAGCAGTTACTCTATGTGTTAATTTTCCTTTATTTTTTTATTATTGAAATTATTATGTAAGCATGCTGATCACACCTGTCTGATATACAGTATTTTGCATGGGAATTTGTTGATTGGTACAATACCCAAGGAAATTGGATTGTTGAAAAACTTGAAGGTATTGGATTTTGGATCGAACCAGCTGACAGGTCCAATCCCACCCGAGATTGGAAACTTAACCGGCATTCAGAAAATGTTAGTCTGACATGAGAAAATTTACACGATGATACGTATATTTGTGGACATTTATTTCTTTGGAGTTCTTGCTTCTCCTTATTCTGATAAAATTTATTATCTTGTTGGTTCTTTAGAAACCTTCAGTCGAATGGCTTGACCGGAAAGCTGCCTAATGAACTTGGTAATTTGAAATACCTTGAGGAACTTCGACTTGATAGAAACAAGTTCATAGGAAATATTCCGGATGGTAATAGCTCAACATTTTCATCAGCAATGAATGGAATGTAAGTCGAAAATATTTGAGTAACTTTAGGATTCACAAATGATTTTTTTTTTTTTTTTTTTTTTTTTTTTTTTTTTTTTTTTTGTGGAAGGGGATTGGGAGTTGCTGTTGTCCTACTAAACGATTATACTTGTTGAGAACTAGTTTTATTAAATGCTCGAATTCCAAAGTTTTTTTGTTTGTTTATCTTAATGTTGTTCAATGAATAATTACTTCATAGGTATGCTTCTAAAAGCACAAGCGTTATGGGATTCTGTGGATCCACACAGTTAAAGGTGGTAGACTTATCGTACAACTTTCTGGTTGGGATCATACCTAAGTGCTTGGGGTATTTACCAAGGTACTCCATTTATTTTCTTTTACTCTTTTCCTATAGCTTGGTATATGTATTTTCTACTGTTCATAGCTTTCGTTTTATGCTTAAAGTTAACTTCAGTCATTTGGCTATAGATCAAGCTTTCAGGGAAATTGCCTTCAAGACAAAGATCCCAAACAGCGTCCTGCAACTCAATGTGGTATGCGATTGTATTTACCTACATCACTCAACTCATGGGAGCTTTGACCCAAATAAGCTTAAAAAATGAAAATAGGAAAGTGTTTGAATTATTGTTCAGGAAGTAACTGAGAAAGGGCATGGGATAATATAAAAAATTATGATCGAGTTCGAGGTAATTACAAAAAGGAATTTGCAGCAAACTTATAAAATTTCAAGAAGTGCTCTTGAGACTTCATTCCCTCTCAATTTTTTCTATCTGTTAGTTGATGCCACGATGTTCACTTATGTCATTAAATACTTTATAGTTAGACCATCTATTCCTCAAAACATTCTGCATGAACATTTTTTGTTCAGAGAAATCAATGTTCGGATTATTTGTTGGTCTTCTAGGAATGCTTTTGTAAAATAAATATTTCATTATGTCAGTAATTTTCATTAGCTAGGTGCAAAATGCAAGACAGATGTACTATATGTGAGGATCTTGAAAAGCTTTAAAACGTAGCCGGATAATTTTTCGTGGTCTGACCAAACCTCAAAGTGTAGCTTTTATAATTATCCATAAATTTAATACAACACCCTTTGGTTTTAAAGAACTTCCGAACTGTGAATTGATTCTTTTGTTCATTAAACTTGCACCCATGCAACAGAAGTAATTCTAACTGTAATAACAGGTACACCTCGTCCGCCAATCAAAACTCATCCGAGAGTCGGCACAAAGCATGGGCCTATGGAAGATAAGTCGAAGCACAAGTCAAATGATTCAAAACCTGCATGGTTGTTAGCTCTCGAAATCGTAACAGGAATCATGGTTGGTTTGCTCTTTGTGGTTGCTGTTTTCACCGCCTTTCACAAATTGAAGCGAAAACCTTCAATCATTATTCCATGGAAGAAGTCTGGAAGTACAAGGGATTACATGACCATTTACATAGGTTCAATTTACTCTCTTTTACATTTGTTTTTGTTAAAATTAAATATTTGAACTTCTTCATATCCAGTATCTTATATTCTTATTGCTAAATAACTCAATTTACAAATACAACCCCCCCACCCCAGAAAGAATAGAAAAAAATAAAATAAAACAAAAAGAATGGGAAATAATATGTAAGCTAAATAGCTCCAATTACGAATACCGAACACACCTTTCTTTTTGAGGTTGTAATATGCAAGCTAGAAACAGATGTTTGGTGGGCATTGCAATCATAAGAGAAAAATGATTCTTCTCTATTTTGGTATTTAGACAAAACCATTGGGATATATATATATATAGATGTAGATATTGTGGTATTCAATCCATCATATGTTTTTATTTTTCGTAGTGCTAAAAGTGAAATTCTTGTGCAGATTCTGAAGCATTGAAGAATGTGGTAAGATATAGCAGACAAGAACTTGAGGTAGCCTGTGAAGATTTTAGCAACATCATTGGCTCATCTCCAGATAGCCTTGTGTACAAAGGCACATTGAAAGGTGGGCCCGAAATTGCTGTGATATCCCTTTGCATCAAAGAAGAGCACTGGACAGGCTACCTCGAACTTTACTTTCAACAAGAGGTACCCTTATTTTCAGTTAAGCATTAGACAATTACATAACTGCCATCGAATAAGAAGCATGATTTATGTGTCCATGCTCAGGTGGCTGATTTGGCGAGATTAAGTCACGAAAACATAGGGAAATTGCTAGGATATTGCAGAGAGAGCAATCCATTTACGAGGATGCTGGTATTCGAGTATGCATCGAACGGGACATTCTATGAGCACCTTCATTGTATGCAGTTAATGTTATTGCAAACTTTTTCTCTTTCCCTTGTAGATTGAGTAGTTAATCAAATTTTTTTGACTCATAAATTTTAGATGGAGAAGGATGTCAGTTTTCTTGGACCCGTCGCATGAAAATAATTATTGGTATTGCTCGGGGACTGAAGTATCTTCATACAGAGCTTGATCCTCCATTTACTATATCTGAATTGAACTCTAGCTCTGTTTATCTGACTGAAGATTTTTCTCCTAAGGTCAGTATTGTTCATTTACATCACATGCTATGATCATCCACTTGCCTGATCAGTTGTTTGCTCTCTCTCTCTCTCTACTCAACTTGGTTTGTAGCTGGTTGATTTTGAATGCTGGAAAACAGTCCTATCGAGATCAGAAAAGAGTTCAGGCGCAATCAGCAACGAAGGGGCTGTTTGTATTCTTCCAAATTCCTTGGAAAGACGCCATCTCGATATCCAAGGGAACATTCATGCTTTTGGGATTCTCTTACTTGAAGTTGTGAGTGGGAGACCTCCGTATTGCAAAGACAAAGGCTCTTTACTCGACTGGGTAAGCAAATCATGATTCTTTGATAATTAGCTTGCTTAAAAATAAAACGTAACAGATATAATTTGGACCTTTTTTTATTTTTAGCTTTGCATATAGGTTGTTAGTATCGATCGACAATTTCCAGATACTAGCCTTAGTAAGGAAAGGAACCATATTAGTGTTTTTTTTTTAAATTTTGGTTAGATATTTTCACTCCAGGCCAAGGAATATTTAGATTCGCCCGATGCCATGGCCCGTGTGGTGGATCCTGAACTGAAACATTTCAGACAAGAAGACCTTAAGGTGATATGTGAAGCGGTGAACTTATGTATTCATCCGAGTTCGAGCATGAGGACATCCATGAGTGAGTTGTGCTCGATGCTCGAAACTGGAATAGACACATCGATATCGGCCGAGTTCAATGCATCCTCTTTAGCTTGGGCTGAACTCGCGCTTTCTTCATAGTGAGGCTGACTTTGATAACTGGGAAAAAATTAATTGGGCTGATCGATCACTCGATCTTTCTCTCCATGGTGAGGCTGACTTTGGTAAATGAAATAGATGATAAGAATAACGATTTTTTTCTCTCTATTTTTTTTTTTTTTTAATGGTCAATGGCATTTGAGTTGTTGTAAATCTCGTGTGATGTAAGAAACGTATAGGTGTTGTGCCTGTGAATTCCATTTTTTTAATAACTTCTGTCCTTAAAGATGTGGTTGTTAAAACTGTGCAACAATGCATGAGTTTTGTGTTGTGTTGTTTTTTTCCCGCGTCACATTTTTCTTCCCATTTTCACTCATAAGAAAAGGTTGATTGTTGTTCTGTGTCATTTATTGATCTGCCAACACCATAACTTGAGCCTTTTTTTTTCGATTCAACAACAGGTTTGGTTGAGTTTTTTCAAACCAATAGTAGTTGATATTACTTTTATTTTTATTTTTATTTATAAATTTTATTAACCTCTATTGTTCTATATTTCAAATAAAATTAAATAATTATTTTTTAAATATATTTATTATTTAATAAAAATAAATTTTAAATATAGAAAACATTGTATAGTAATTATTATTATTATTATTATTTTTTTGGTCTCAAAACTAACTATTTACTATCAAAGATTGTTATATACTCAGGGAATAAAAAATTGCAAATTTGGTCCCGTTAAATTGAGACGGTCGTAATTTTAATCCTGAGGGTTAACGGGTACTTCACGGTCTGTAAGATTTGAGACCAAATAGGGAACAAAAATTAGTTAAGAACTGAAATTGCGCCCCTTGATACTAAAATTGAGACCGTCCCAATCTAACGGGACCAAATTTGCAATTTCCTCAATGAAAGTTAGTATATGTTTTATTTAAAAAATAAAACTTTGTAAATATGAAAACCAAAACGAATTTCTAGTAAACCGCGTAATTTTTTCATTGACATACATTCTGTGTACACCAACCATGCCCTCAAAACTCCAATCATATACCTTCGAATTTTTTTTTTCTATCAAGACCTCAAATCACAATAGAAAATTCCAACGATCTAATCTATATATATATAATTGCTGGCATGCAACATTTAATAAAATCTCTAAAATTTTCCCCCCATTTTCGGTTACAAAAATTGTCATTAATATTTTTTACTTCTCAAATTAATACATCTTGATGAGTGTAATCATGTATGTTTCTATTATATTATATAATAATTATTGCTAATACCAATTAATAATAATTTACAATAAATATAAATTACATAAATATAAACAATTGTTTAAAGTTATGTATTTTAACATCAATATTATCTTTTTCTTTTGTATCTCATAAAAAAATTTCTTTAAAAATAATTAATAATTGTTTTAATAGCATAGTTAAACAACTTTAGAATCTTATAAAAAATTGTTTTTAATAATAATAATAATATATATATAATTGCTAGCTTAGCATTTAATTTTACCTATTTAATAACACCTCTAAAATTTTTCTTCTATTTTCAGTTACAAAATTTATCATTAATATTTTTTTACTTCTCACATTAACACATCCTATTAAGTGTAATCATGTATTTTTCTTTTATATTATATAATAGTTATTGCTAATACCAACTAATAATAATTCACAATAAATATAAATTACATAATTATGAACAATTATTTCAAGTTATTTATATTAACATCAATATTTTCTTTTTCTTTTGTATCTCATGAAAGAATTTCTTTAAAAACAGTCATTAAATTGTTTTATTAGCATAGTCAAACAACTTCAGAAGCTTATAAACAATTGTTTTAATAATAATAATAATAATAATAATAATAATAATAATAATAATAATAATAATAATAATAATAATATTAACCAAACTGTTATTATCTAATGATAATAAACAATTTTTCATAATAATAAAATCGTTAATTTATATTTCCTAATAATCAAAATTTTTTAGAATTTTAATATTAAATTCTCAAATATTACTTACTAATATTTTATGTACATCTGTACATGTGCACAGGATATCTACTAGTTGAACAAAAAAACAATTTATCACCATGAATAATAATAATAATAATAATAATAATAATAATAATAATAATAATAATAATAATAATAATAATAATAATAATAATAATAATAACAACAACAACAACAAAAACTTGGCTGTATAAATGGTAAATTTTACATAATAGACAGTTTAAATAGCCAGTATGACACCAATACAAAGAGTTATTGTTCAAGTTAATTCAATATAGTATTTAGCTTGTAACCTCAGAAGTCCCACAAGTAGAAAAGGGAGCCTGTTAAAAACATAACGTTCAAACACATTTATGTAATGACTTCCAAAGCACATCCAAATCCACATTGCCACCTGAAAGAATAATGCCCACATTGCTGCAGTCTTTCCAGGCAGCTTTACTCTTGAAACTGTCGGATAGGACGGCCGCAAGCCCAATGGCCCCACTTGGCTCGACTGCGACTTTGAGAATCTCATAACACAATCTCATAGCTTCAATAATCTCATTATCCTCTACAACAATGACTTCTTCCACCAAATCTCGAACAACAGGCCTGTGATACATGTTAGTGATAAATACAGAAAATATCCCCAAGATTTTCGAGTATTAACAAAAAGCCCCCAAGGAATGATTCAGTCGTAATCTAATAGAGTAATTTGCAAAATATTGATAATATAAATTATACGGATGTTTTTGTTTTACCATGTAAGAGTTCCAAGAAATGCTCGAAGACCATCGGCTATGGTCTTGGTCTCGGGTAAAGTGACAATGGCTCCCGAGTCTTTGGACCGAGCAGCATCGTTCGCTCCCTTTGGTTCGGCAGCTAATATCCGGATTGTGGGATTAATGGACTTGGCAGCTAATGCCACCCCTGAAATCAAGCCGCCTCCTGTGATGCAAGGCTTAGAACATACATACAAGCAAGTAAGTACAAACATGTGAAAAGAGGGTAATAAACGGGCTCTAATATTGTTGAGCATACCGCTTATTGGGACAATTATAGTGTCGATTTGAGGAATTTCATCCAAAAGCTCCAGAGATATGGTTCCTTGCCCACTGAAACCAAATTTATGAGTCGAAACATGCACATATTCTCGTCCAGAGTTGTTTTTCCTATCTTTATTTATCAGTAACTACCATCAGCAAAGGATTCTTGTTACTAATTTATTCTCGTTCAGTAATGTTGTTAGACAGGCCTACACAGAACCATACTTTTTCAATATATGTGCAAACTTCCATACTAAAATGACGTATTATGAAAAACAAGGTAACCAAAATGTGACATTTCACATTATAAGTAGGCATTTTGGTTTAGAAAGTATGACGGGCAGACTGCCTAATGGTTCAGCTGCCTCACAACAGAATTTGTGATTTTCCTTATGGTACAAAGAAAGGATAATAATTTTACATAAAATAGGCAAAGGTGGAAGAATAAATGAGATAAATTCATGGAAAATTTGACTATTCAATGGGCAACCATTGGAACTAAATAGTCATGAAGATACATGACAATGCTAGGTACCATTATGACTTATCAGCTTGATAATTCATCGACATACTTCGACTTTCAGGCCAAGTAATTATGAGATCCACAATCTTATTATCTCCGGAAATGTCCACCATATATCTCGCTTCAACACAAAAACATATATATATATATATATATATAATCAAGTTCAACCAATTGAAATTCTCATTTGTCTAGACCACCAAAATCTTGGAACGTAGTACTATATAAGAGCTTAAAACATGTCAAATCACATAGAAACTGCAGATATGACGCCTATACAGACACACTGGCATATTTTCCAGAGTCACTCCTCCAAGGTGACAGAATGAAAAAAAGAGAAAAGAAAGAAGGAACGAAAGAAAGAAAGAAAGAAAGAAAGAAAAAATGAAAAGTGATAGCATAAGCATTAGATGGGGATACATGTTACCTAATGATACTACCATCATTATATGGATGAATAAGATGAGCGCCCGTTTCTCGTAAAACCTTGGCAGCAATCTCCTCCCTGGATTTCACTGTGGCCTCACTCCATATAACCCGACCACCATAACGTACGACATTCTCAACTTTGCATTTTGGAGCATTTTTAGGGATGACGATATGCGCAGGTATCCCTCTAAGCTTTGCCGCCAAAGAAAGTGCCGCAGCATGGTTACCACTAGTTTTTTGGAGAGTAGGAACACGCAACATTTAAATAAGTCATATCACGTAAAGAAAAATCGCAAACTAGTCCAATAGAATTTGGAGTAAAACGGTCCAGCAAAACATTTAGCAAATACTTCCAGAGGCAGTATTAACATTGCTAGTCATGGTCCTACAATATGCGAAAAAAAAAAATTGCAAGATTGTCCCGTTACTATATGCGTATATCAATTTTTGCCCTAATTCAGACCACATTTCAATTATGTGAACAGCATTTGCAGTTTAAGCATCTGGTGAAATTAGGACTAAGATTGATATTTTTATACATAGTTACAGGACAGTTTCAGAAATTCGGTTTTACAAGACTTGATATGCAAATGTATGTATCATTTTTGGGATTATGTTCCAGTTCAATAGAGAAGATTAAATTTTCACTTCCTCATATCTTGAGAAACTATAAAGAAGCTTTTACTGAGGTCAAAATGAACCTGCTATGAGTCACCACCCCTTTAGCTGCCTCATCGTCTGTGAGTGAAAATACGGCATTGCAGGCCCCTCGAAATTTGAAAGCTCCACTAAATATTTACAAGGGAACAAAGAAAAAACGTTTCAACAAAGACCATATAAGACATTACACCTATAATAGTTGCATAAGAATGAATGAGAACTTAAGGGAATATCTAACACATTAGTTGCATATGAAGCAATAAGAACATAAGCTAAAATTCTAACGAGGTGACAACGTCTATCTCACCCTTTCTGGAAGCATTCACATTTGAAGTAAAGCTTTCTTCCAGATATCGAATCTAGCGTTTCGGACGATAAGACTGCAGTTTTGTTCACATACGGGCTGATCCGTTCTTGTGCTGCTTTTATTGAAGATATATCAGCAGCATATCGATTACCAGATGCCCGGGATTTTTCTTCCATCTGC